ACTGGGGATTATATATTATTATTTAAGTAATTATATGTTTACAATTTTTTTTTAGGTATAAATGGTACTCAAAATTTTAAGAATATGCCGTGGTGTGCAGTAGAGGGTTGTAGAAATAATTTAAAAGCCACAAAGAGAGCAGGTAAAAATGTATCATATCATATTTTCCCCAAGAATCCTCAAAGGCGTAATGCTTGGTTACAAGTCATTAAGAGAACAACAAAATTTAATGTGAATTCTTCTTATGTTTGTTCTGAGCATTTTGTTCCTGATGATTTTGAGTGTAATAGTTTAAAAGAAGAATTACTAAACATTAAAATTAAAAAACAACTTAAGAAAACTGGTAAATAATTTTAATTAGAGTTAATGATATTTATTGTTAGGTATTAAAAATTATGTGATTTTATTTAAACAAAGTATTCATTCAGTTAATATAATTATATGATATATAAAGTAACTGGAAAAATATCTGTAAAAATATTATTAGTTAAATATGTGTGAAAAAATTTAACAACTTTCTAAAATAATTTCTTTTCCTGTACATTTTTAAATTCAAAATTTATATTCAGTATCAACTCAGCTAATGTTATTTATTTTCAAGTATAAAATTTTTTTACAATTCTTAAGACTAATTTGTAGTATTGACTAAATTAAAATATTAATAGTTAATACTAAAATTATTATCACTGTTAAATACTCTTATTAGTATAAAAATTTTAATATAATTGTTTACTTAAATGCGTTTTTAATTTTGATTATTTCCAGCCATTCCATCAATAAATATTAATTATTCAACACCAAAACTCGTAACCATTGATAATGAAAACTCCACTTTTTTAGTTGATAAATCAAAGAATGATATTTTTATGTCTGAGGTATGTTTATAATAATTAAAATAATTTATTTATTACAAGTTTTGACTATTTAATTAATATAATACTTATTCAACTTTTCATATACAGAGTATTCAATAACTAAATAAATAGGTCAATTTTTATGAATTGTTGGAATAATAAAAATCTTTTTCTTACTATTTGGACACCTTTTCTTATAAGGCGTTATAACACTACACATAAAATGTGTAGTGTTATAACAAAAATATATATTATAATAAAAAAATGTTTATTTTTTACAGACTATTTCTGATATCTATAATGTGAAGTGTTGTGTATCTAACTGTAATAGTATTTATGATGCTGAGGTACTAGAATATAATGAAAATATTTTGTTCCATAGTTTTCCCAATGAGACTGAAGTTTCAGAAAAATGGTTATCTTTTTGCAATCTTCCTAAACAATTTTTATTAGATAATCCGAATGCTAAAATATGCTCAAAGCACTTTGAAACTAATGATTATTCAGACAACAATAGTGAAGTAATTTTTAGATAAATTAATTATGTAAAATTTAAGATGTATTCAAATGAATTAATAATAATCTTTTTCTAAAATATTAAAAATAACTATTTTTTAAAACTTTTTTAAGGTTTAAAATTATGTACTATTAATTGTAATTGTTATTAAAACTACTACAGAAAATTAATATTATTTCATATTTTCAGTTGATATATCCAGCGAACAGATTATTGAAAAAGTTTGCTATTCCTTCTTTAGTAAATGAAAAACAAAAATCTGTCAGTACAAAAAATGAACAAGATTTGAGATTGGAAAGAAAAAAAATTGTTGATAAACTTTTGGCTGACTATGATGAACAAAAAAATATAACTAAAATAGATAACAGTTTATATTCTAAATATGCAGACTACTTTTCAACTAATATCATCCCTAATGCTAAGCTTGGTGATAAATTAAAATTAATAAAAGCTAAAGATCAATCAGGAACTTGTTATACTTCCTGTAGAAAAAGAAAAAAGTTCAAGGAACCTATCAATATTAATTTAACCAATACACAACTTCCTAATGTTGTTATTCAGAGTCCTAAATTAAATAATGAACATGTTATTCATGTATCAACTGTTCAAGGAGGACTTATGCTACAAGCAATACCTCAACCTGAACCAGTCATAAAACAAGCTAAAATATCACATCAACTTGAAAAAGATTTGCCAGAATTAGAGGAAGAAATTATTATTGTAACAGAAGATGAAGCTAATAGAGTGGATCTATCTTCATATTCCCAACTGCACAAAGAAAACAGTGCTGAAGTAGTTATAGTTACCGATTTAAAAGACACAGATAATAT